GCAGAAGGTGAGGGCCCACAAGAATTCTAAAAATTAATACTGGCCACTCCAGGCTTGTATTAAACTCCCAAGGTTACAGCTTTTCTCTGACCTTGGCTTGGTAAATGCTGCCACAACCCAAATGCAAAGTAACACCTTGAACCCAGGAAGGAGCACTGGGAAATTCCTCCCTGTGGGGTACCTGCAAGCCCTTTCACCACCCTCTCTGGGGAAGAGCTGAGAAAGAAAATAAAGGAAATTAGCTGTTGCCTCCAGCTAATCAAACAGCATATACACAAACCTCTTAGGACACAAAAATCCAAATCCTGTTCTTAAAAAAGGTAACTTTTATAAAAACAGAAAGAAATAAAACACATCTGGAACTTAGGCTTTTGCTAGATTTTAAAAGAGCAATTCCAAAAATTAAGCACCCAAAATAGCTTTCTTGGGGGTTCAGCTTAAAGGTTACAAGCAAACAAAAGCATCTGGGGTTAGCACAGAGGAGATCCACAAGCCAAAATAAATAAATAAACCTGATCGCGTCTACCTAAATATTGCCTATCCCAATGATTTCTTCTAGGTATGGAAAATAATTTTATCACAGAAGGAATAAGCGTTACCAGTATAAGCCCCTTTCTACTGGTAATCAAGGAACAATAAGGAAATCCCAAAACTCTTTGTGTGTGTGTGTGTGTGATCTTTCCATGTATGGGCTCATGTGTGTATTTGTATGAGTCAGTCTTGCATGTTTCATGTTTTGCCTTCTGTTTGTTCGTATACTGTGTATTTCGAATCCCTTGTTTGTGGGAGTCTTGTGTGTCTCATGTTATATTTCTTGTGCGCGTGTTTTTTGCTTGAGTGCATTTTGCATGCCTCCTTTTCCTTCTGTGTCTGTTTATATTATCTTTTGATTGTGAGTTTGTGTTGTGTGCAGTTGTGCCTCTTGTTTGTGTGAGTCAGAGTGTTGGCCGTGCCCCTTGTTCCTTCATGTAGTGTGTCTTGGTCTTGTGTCTCTTAGTGCATCGCTTTGAATGTCCCTTTTCACGGACCACCTTCTTTTCCTTTCCTACAGCCAATGGGGGAGCAAGATATAACTCCAACCCAACCCAACCTGTTCACTTTGAAAACTCCAGACATACTTTTGGTCCCAAGAAGAAGTAATTTACTCTGCTCATCTGCCAGTCTCTTCCACTGTGTCCTTCCCCATCTCACTCTCCTTTCATTATTAAAATTCCACAGGAACATTTCTGCCCTCATAAAAAGAGCAGACATCCAATAGGGGTTCTTCTTCCTTCAGAGAATCACTCTTATCCTGCAGAGAAAGAATAACGCATCACTTAGATGTCAGCATGTGCAATGTACGTCAGCCCATCACCTGTTTGCTGTGATATTCTGCCAACAACAGATGTTTACGGTTCCATTACTCAGTGGTTCAAACTCTCATTCTGGCAATTGGGTGGTGTGAGTTCAAGTCTTGCTGTGGCCACACTGAATTTGTGCTAGGGGCATTTGATCTAGTGGTGCTGGCTAATCTCCTCTCTTCCTTTACTGACACCAGCAATTCACCAAAGCAATGTAGACACCCAGTGTCTCTTATTTTCATGGCATCCAATTCCATTAGGTACTTTCCGGGGAGGCTGCGAGCCAGGATTGAGGGGCACCAGCAGAGCTGTGTGTGGAAGAAGCTGTGTAAATGGGCCTTTAATTTTACCCTGATTATAAGATCAGCTGTAAAGAGCAAAAATTGATGAAGTGTCCAGTCACATAGAACAATAAGAGTAGATGGGGAAAGGTGCAAATTGCGACGGAAAGACCAAGTTAGTCCAAACAAAATGGCCTCCCAATATAATTCAAGACCCTGTGTTAAGATCAAACACGAGAAGTGTGGGACCAGAAATCAATGGACCAAAACTAGTGTGTCGTAAATTAGGCCTAAATGGTGACCAAAACAATGAGGGCGGCCTGTTCCACCCATCAGTCTCTTTGAGGTCCTTGAAAAAGGCCAGTTTGGGAGAGAAATTGAGGGAGGAAAGGAAGAAAATGCAACAATTTCTGACTGAATGCAGGGGAAGCAGCGAGCTTTACCATCATGGCTGCCACCCTGGCCATCTCCTGGGACCATGGAATCCAGCATGACACCCCTGGACCTCCTTCATCCTAATCCCAAGAGATGTCCTGACCAGACCAGGCAACAAAGAGAGATGACATGTCACCCAGATGACATGGCCACCTCAACTTGCTCTGTCTAAGTCCCAGCCACACCTGGGAGATGAGATTTTGTCTCCCTGCTCCCCATCATGTGTCCTTTTCATTCCCTACCTTAGTTCTTCTCTTTCCTATCCCTCTCCTTTGTCTTTCTATCTAATAAGAATCTGATTTAGCCAGCCAAAACTGGATATTTTGCAACACTTCTGTGAGCCTGTGTCCTAGGAGACAGTTAACAGCAATGCCCTACACAACCCGATGCAGGTACCAGTTTGCCAGGTCAGATAAAATCATAGAATATCAGGGTTAGAAGGAACCTCATGAGGTCATCTAGTCCAACCCCCCTGCTCAAAGCAGGACCAATCCCCAATTTTTGCCCCAGATCCCTAAATGGCCCCCTCAAGGATTGAACTCACAACCCTGGGTTTAGCAAACCAATGCTAAAACCACTAAGCTATCCCTCCCCCCTCTTGGAGCGACTGATTAGACGGTGGTGCTAGGCCTGTGTTTTTTCAGCTGCGTAGCTACAAAGGAGAGCCAACACTACAGACAGAAGCTGCATTTTCTCTTTTTGCAGTTCTCTTTTTTGCTGTCCTGTTGTGTGCGTTTATCTTGTGTTGTCTTCTATGAAAAATAACTATAACAACAGCTGCTCCAGTCCATCTCAGCTAACTTCTTTTCTTTTCCCTAGAAGGGCATTCTTACCATCTTTACCACTTCAGAGACCTTGGGATGGGTGGTGGGTGGGATTCCTTCTAAAACTGTCCAGCTAAAGGGAAATAGAAGAAGGGGAGGCTGTTAAAAAAAAAAGCCTTACTTAAAACATCTGAAATGTAAAGAACTGAGACACAGAGACACATTAACACTGCTGATGCTTTGCGGGCATGTTTTCCATCTGAATGACTACAACAGAATCCAAAGCTGGACTAGCAGAGAGTTACAGTTCAGGACTGGGGGGCAGCAGCAGAGCTGTGAGTTTCTAGGCTAGGCCTGGATTAGGAAGATGCCAGTGAGTCAGGACTCAGCGTGCATCTACACAGCAAACAAAAGTGTGATTGCAGCACCGGTGTGTGTTCCTACATTTGCTTTAGTCTAGCTAACATGGGTAACAATAACAGTGGGAACAAGGTAGCACAGGTTTAGCACAGGCTGGCAACCAGAGCTGGTACCCCAGGTCCCTGGTGGGTTGGCATTGGGGCAGCTATCCTGCAGTGAAGTTTGTGCCGCCCACTATCCTTACCCACACTAACGATTAAAGCTGGCACGTCTGTGTCCACCTACTCTACAATTACACCTTTGCTTGCTAGGTAGACACACCTTTAGATGTTTTTGTGGAGTCCGCCTCTCTGCCAGGACACATGCTGGTTGTTCTCCACCCATGCCCTGCCTGCTGGGCCACTGCTTTTAATTGCAAGCTGTCAGGAAATCATACTAATCCAATTGCTTATTAGACTTCCTTGTCCAACTCTTCCCACTCCATGTCTGGTTGAGCTCTATATAACATGAGCCAAGATGAGAGGGAGGATCAAGGAGAGGTTCAGATCAGCAGACACCAGGATCCATCTCTCTGACGACAGGTATGGGTGCCAGTGGGTCAGGACTCAGGATGCATCTACACAGCAAACAAAAGTGTGAAGTGTTGGATACAGAACAAGGCTGGGGCGGGGGGCTGCTGGACTAAGTTGGGGGTGAGTTACATGTGGCACAAGGGCAGGGCAATATCAGTCTGCCTCTGAGACTCAGGACACCTGGGGTCTATCCATGGATCTGGTAGGAGACTTGGGAATAGTGGTTAGAGGATGAGAGGACGGATCTGATGAAATCTGATGAGGTTCAATAAGGATAAGTGCAGGGTCCTGCACTTAGGACGGAAGAACCCAATGCACAGCTACAGACTAGGGACCGAATGGCTAGGCAGCAGTTCTGCGGAAAAGGACCTAGGGGTGACAGTGGACGAGAAGCTGGATATGAGTCAGCAGTGTGCCCTTGTTGCCAAGAAGGCCAATGGCATTTTGGGATGTATAAGTAGGGGCATAGCGAGCAGATCGAGGGACGTGATCGTTCCCCTCTATTCGACATTGGTGAGGCCTCATCTGGAGTACTGTGTCCAGTTTTGGGCCCCACACTTCAAGAAGGATGTGGATAAATTGGAGAGAGTCCAGCGAAGGGCAACAAAAATGATTAGGGGACTGGAACACATGAGTTATGAGGAGAGGCTGAGGGAGCTGGGATTGTTTAGCCTGCAGAAGAGCAGAATGAGGGGGGATTTGATAGCTGCTTTCAACTACCTGAAAGGGGTTTCCAAAGAGGATGGCTCTAGACTGTTCTCAATGGTAGCAGATGACAGAACGAGGAGTAATGGTCTCAAGTTGCAGTGGGGGAGGTTTAGATTGGATATTAGGAAAAACTTTTTCACTTGGAGGGTGGTGAAACACTGGAATGCGTTACCTAGGGAGGTGGTAGAATCTCCTTCCTTAGAGGTTTTTAAGGTCAGGCTTGACAAAGCCCTGGCTGGGATGATTTAACTGGGAATTGGTCCTGCTTTGAGCAGGGGGTTGGACTAGATGACCTTCTGGGGTCCCTTCCAACCCTGATATTCTATGATTCTATGATTCTATCTTGGTCAGGGTCTGTGCAAAACCTGGCACAGAATGGGGCAGGAATAATGGGATGTGGAGGGGCTCTGGGGACAGAGTAGGGTGGGAGGGGATCATGGGAGTGGGAGGAGCTATTGGGTGGGGTTCCATGGAGGAGGCAGAGCCCCCCCCCCACGCTGTCTCCATCCATCTCCCCCCCTACCCCCACTGCAGGTCGATCCAGTGACAGACACAGCTATGGCTCTGAAGGGACCCTGCCCGGCGCTCCTGCTGCCCCTTGCCCTGCTGGTCACCTGCCTGGCCCTGTCCAGCGGGCAGTATTGGAATCCGCTGAATGACATATTCCAGAGAGAGCACGTGAACAACCCCAAGAACAAAGCCGTCAACAACAAAGTCTACTGCAACATGATGATGTGGGACCGGGGCATATTCTGGAAGTATACCAACACCTTCATCCATGAGTCCCTCAAGAAAATCAATGCCATTTGCAATGCGGATGGCATACCCGTTGGGGGCTTCAAACGTAAGAGTAAGAACTCCTTCTCAATCACCACCTGCACATTTAACCCCTGGACCTTCTCTTTCAACGGACTCAGTGGCAAAAAGAAAATTGTCCTCTCCTGCTTGAATGGGCTCCCTGTGAGATTTGTGAGGCACATTTAGGACCCAGACAGACTGTGGAAGGCAAGAAGGGGACCCTGCTGCTTTCTCTAACCCTGCTCTGTCCCTTCTACACTGGCCACGGCACCCAGCTCCTCACCCGTCTCTAAACACTAGTGAGATGGTATAGGTGTTTCCACCCCGCACCCTCTGCTGCCCCAACTGCCCATTATACAGTATAGCCTCCCCTTCCCTGCCCCTCACCCTCTGCTGTTCCTAGTGGCCACTATACTGTATAGCTAGCCCTTCCCAGTCTTGTTGTCCCTGGTGGCCATCTAATAACCTATCCTTTCATTAAGAAATATTAATCAGTTTCATGTTCTTGTATTGTGTATTCAGCCTGATCATGAGCAATCCTCATATATGACATGATTAAATGTTATTGGTCATTGTTTGCTTCACTTTTTTTTCTATGTTTCTCTGTGCTCCCTAAATGCAATAAAGCCGGATACCTGCAAAAGCAATGCCTGTCTTATTGTGTGAGACTGGGGATAGGAAGAGCATAAACCACTGACCATTTAAGAATGGTGCTGGAAACATGTTGTGGTTTTCCAGGATTTCTCTGTGCTTTCAAGGCCATTGTCAACCTCTTCCTCATTGCTGGGAACAGAGCCCAGGAGTCCTGACTGCTACCGCCAGCCCTGCTTTAACCACTAGACCCCACTGTCCTCTGAGAGCTGGGAATAGAACCCAGTAATCCTACATAAGAACATAAGAATGACCATTGTGTGTCAGAGCAGTGATCCATCTAGCACAATACCTATCTCCAACAGTGACCAGTGCCAGATGCTTCAGAGGGAATGAACAGAACAGGGCAATTTATCAAGTGATCCATCCTCTGTCATCCAGACCCAGCTTCTGGCACTATCAATCAGAGATTTAGGGACATCCAGAGCATAGAACTGTGTCCCTGACCACCTTGGCTAAGAGTCATTGGTGGACTTATCCTCCGTGAACTTACCTAACTCTTTTTTAAAAAATAGTTTTAAGTGAGGTGAAATGTGGGGATACGCAGGATAAATCAGACTCCTGAAAGGGGTACAGTAGTCTGGAAAGGTTGAGAGCCACTGTCCTAAAATTTCCTAACATTATGTTAGCTTTTTGATTCCCACTGCACAATAAGAACATAAGAACAGCCATACTGGGTCAGACCAAAGATCCATTTAGCCCAGTATCCTGTCTTCCGACAGTGGACAATGCCAGGTGCCCCAGAGGGAATGAACAGAACAGGGAATCATCAAGTGATCCATCCCCATCACCATTCTTAGCTTCTGGCAAACAGATGTTTTCAAGGAAAAATAGACTGATAGGTTGATGTGTATGGGAATGGATAGACAGATACAGTGGTAGGTATGGCGTTAGGCAGGGTGATGTGTATATGTATGGATAAACTGGGAGAGTGGAGGGTATTGTGATCGATTTATAGATCGATGGGTCCAGGGATGGATAGTTAGAGCAAGTGGAGTATTTGGTGGTAGACCGATTGGTTGATGTGTCTGGGGATAGATAGATAGGTAGAGTGGTGGGTACAATGATAGACTGTGAGACCGATGTGTCTGGGGATGGGTAGATAGACAGACATGAATGCTGTGATGCCAATGTCAGGCCAGGACCTTTCCTTATTTGTCTGCATGGTGCTGAGCTACCAGGAAGGACACATACTAACATCCAAATGCTCATACATACACTAAGCCTGGTCTACACTTGGGGGGGATCAATATAAGTTATGCAACTTCAGCTATGTGAATAACGTAGCTGAAGTCGACATACTTAGATCGATTTACCATGGTGTCTTCACCGCGGTGAGTCAACTGCTGCCGCTCCCCCATCAACTCTGCCTGCGCCTCTCGCGGCGCTGGAGTACAGGAGTCGACGGGACAGCGCTCGGGGATCGATTTATCGCGTCTAGATTGGACACGATAAATCGATCCCCACTGGATCAATCGCTGCCCGCCAATCCGGCGAGTAGTGAAGACATACCCTAATATCACACACTCATACACACATATACTAATATCACTCACACACAAACACTAATATCACAGACACACACACACACACACTCAAACAGTAACATCACACACAGAGACACACACACAAACAGTAATATCACACACACAGACACACACATAGATACACTAATATCACACACGCACACAAACACTAATATCGCACACACAGACACACTAATATCACTCAGACACACACACAGATACACTAATATCACTCACACACACATACACACAACACCCTTAGGGAATGCTACAAATAGAGAAATAGGATGAGCTAGGCATCTAAGGAAATTGGAAACATGTTTAAGCTAACCACTTTATTTGTACAACGTTGTGTGTGCGTGTGTGCACACTGAGTGTGCGTGTGCGTTGAGTGTGCCCTGTGTGTGCGGAATGCTGGGGTGTGTGAAAGATGTACACTGTATGCTTGTTCAGAATGATTGTTCGCGTGTGTGAATCAGACAGTGTGTGTCTGTTTTTGTGGGTTTTTCTATCTACCTTTGAGCCCCTAGACATCCCCTGACACCCAACCTCGTTCCAATGCAGAGAAAAGCAACACACAGCTTGTAACTCTTCACTGGGGGAAAACAAAGCCAAACCAGATCTGCAATCCCACAGGCAATGAAGCCCAGGTAGTTTTTATCTCCATGTAGCTCGTCACTGTCAGCACAATACCCCCACCTGGGATTAAACTTGTCTAGCCACAGAGAGGGAAACTCCTGGAGGATTTCACCTGGAGAGGGTGATGCAGAGTCTGTGTGCATCTGAGAACAGCTGCCTTCCACAGAACCCCGGTAGTGATATGTGCATCTAGCAGCTCCCCGGACTCTGCCACAAGCCCATGGGCAAACCAACCGGCATTCCAACCCAATCCAGACTGGGGTGTTTGCCAGGGAAAGCCCTGGCTGGGAGTCCAGGGGAAATCACTGCAAAATATCACCAAGTATCAATCTCCATCTGCCCCTCTCCGAGAGCTAATTCTACAGATGGCAGCTGGCTGGAGACAGTGCCATTGTCACCCCACATGAGCTGCACCATGCCCAGCCGGCTCCATAACTCAGGATTTAGCGTCCTGCCTTTGTAAACTGAGTGTTGTGAATTCAAATCTTGGTAGGCCTTGTAAGGTCAGTGGGAGTTTTGTACCAGGAAATGTCTGAGACTTAACTCCTGGGATTCCAAAACCCCACCCAGAGTTTATCTCCTCTATAGACCTGCCACAAGTGACTCCGCCTCTCTGGTGGTGTTTTCTTCATGAGCCTAACTTGAGTTCTGCAAATCATCTCCACTGTCCTGCCTCCCCCCAGCCCGGCCCCTAATCCTGGGAAGTACAAAGTGCTTGGGAGTGGGGGGCATACCCCAGGATCACAATGTCACAGCCAGGTGCAATGCCCTGGGATCGCTTTGGCAGGGTGTTAAGACAGAATGTGTCTGCCCCTCCTGGGGAGCAGGTGTGGGAATGGTGCCAGCCATGTGTGTGTGTGTGGAAATGATAGTATCCATTTGTGTGTGTGAATGTGGCACCCTCAGTCTGTGTAAAAAATTTCCAATCCATTCACATCACACAAACTGGGCCTGCATAAACACACATATGCTCTGCAGCTGCCAACAGCCAATGCTTCTTCCACTGCAGCTAAAAGGAGCAATGACTTGAGCTCTGCCTAAATAGTCAGCTGTAGGAATTGCTAAAGCCAGCCACAAGAGGGACACACACATACATACTGATAATAAATTGCATAGTCAATTGCTTGACCATGCTTTGGTATGTTATAAAATATACCTTGGAACACAAGGAAAGCTTGAAGCACAACTTTTATTTAAAAGTGTGGCAAATCAGTATTTTTAGATCCCCGTTATGACTCAGGTTTTCCAAGGCTCGTTTTGCCTCATCCATGTTATTGCTAATTTGAATAATGTGTGTGTGTGTTTTCGCTTTAGTAATGTTTTTAAATGTAAAGTAAATGGATCAGTAGACCCATTAAAAACTGATAGGTAAGTTTTACCTTCATTCTGGATTCCTATTGGATAATGGATTTATTCTGAAACACGAGAATAAGCTTCAGAGTAGCAGCCGTGTTAGTCTGTATCTGCAAAAAGAACAGGAGGACTTGTGGCACCTTAGAGACTAACACATTTATTAGAGCATGAGCTTTCATGAGCTACAGTTCACTTCATCTGATGCATAGAATGGAACATATAGTAAGAAGATCTATATACATACAAAGAACATGAAAAGGTGGAAGTTGCCACACCAACTCTAAGAGGCTAATTAATTAAGATGAGCTATTATCAGCAGGAGAAAAAAAACTTTTGTAGTAATAATCAAGATGGCCCATTTCAGACAGTTGACAAGAAGGTGTTAGACTCTAAGGTGCCACAAGTACTCCTGTTCTTTTGGTGGATGTAGACTAACACGGCTGCTACTCTGAAACCCTTCACTATGCAAGGCACTGAATTTAGCCGTATGGAGTGGAAATCCTTCAACATTATGAAAAAACTCGTACAGATACAGACAGACGTTATCTTCCTTTCCAAATGCAAACAGATGGACATCATACCAAAAGGACTAAAGGTAAAAAATCCATTCCAATCTTCATATCATACAGACTATGCTGAGAGATTGTGCCACACACTCTCAAAGAACCTGCGAAACCACCTGATCGATATCCTATACAGCAAACAGGGAAAGGTGAAGAATGAGCTCTCAAAACTGGATACTCTCATAAAAAAACAACTTTCCACACAAATTTTCTCATGGATAGACTTTACTAAAACTAGACAAGTCATTTACAACACAAACTTTGCTTGTCTACAAAGGAAAAAGGACACTAAACTATCTAAACTATCTACAAGGAGCCACAACAGTAGTCCCCTTAACCCACCCAACAATATTGTTAATCTTTCCAGCTATACTCTTAGCCCAGCAGAAGAGTCTGTCCTATCTCGGGGCCTCTCCTTTTGTCCTTCCAGGCCCACGAACATGATATAGTTCTGCAGTTACCTAGAATCCTACTTTTGATGTCTCTGACTCAAAGACTTCCATCACACCTCTGAACAACATACTAACCCACAGAATCCTTCCTACCAACACTACAAAAAGAAGGATTCTGCGTGGACTCCTCCTGAAGGTTGAAACAACAGACTGG